TGATTAATTAAACAATGAATCTTCACACAACGACGCAGTGTATGGGACATCATTTATAAATGTAGTATGTGACTCTTATACATTATCCATGAAGCTCATCAATTTGTCGGCTGAGCGAATGAGATTCTTACTACAGGAGCCTGGTTCACAGTGGCCACTTCTCAACACGAGAAAATCAGTTTAAAATCAAGAAAAATACACATATCCTTCATATCACAAAGTGAATTATTCGAAAGACATTTCTCATTTGTTTGGGAGATATCTCAGTCTGCTCTATCAAAAACAGATATCGTCAATTCCGGACTTGTATAAATACACATGTTAACGGGAAAGGGATGGGTTTATTTAACACTGACTTTACATAATTAGCTTGACGTTACTGTAATCCTGGACATAAGACCCGGTTATAGTGTATCAGTCAGCTATATCCTTTGTCTTGAAGCAGCGAAGATCACGTAAAAGTTAAAGTCAGGGAATCAATTTACCAGGATTCGTTGCAGACCCGAATGAATTGTCGTCTCTCACATTCCCAGTGACTTGTGCAATTCCACGCCAAACATAACCAGACATTTTCCCTAACTCCTTAAAAGTCTTATAAATGAGGAATGGTTGTGCGCTCACATTTAAACTGCGATACTCTATACTTCTACACGTCACATCTTTGACGGAGAAGAAAATATGTAAATCCGGTTTGTTTTAGATGAGCCTCTATACGTGAGTCCTCAAGTCACCAATTAAACCTATATATTCTACTTTATATATTATATGATAAGCTTTACTCGTCTGTCACCGAGACGACCGGGATTCCACTCCCCGATCGGACGTGAAAAGGTACCGGATCACCTGCCAGATCATTGTGGTTTTCTTCGGGTACTCCAGTTTCCTGCCACATTAATACCCCCGTGCGATACATCCGGGCCAACAAGAGTGATTGATATAAGTTGTGATAACTTGTTTCCTACTTTTTGTAAAATAAAATAAGTTCAAAATATTGCGGACTACTCCAATCTCCCTATTGTATTGTATATGACGTTAAAATATTGATTTTTTTCTTTAATCTAAAGTTGTTTCGAAGGTTTTCTTTTCTTGCGTCCACAAACTCAGATTCGTTGCCATGTGGTATGGCCGACAATACAATAGTCCACCATGTCTATATGGGATCTTGTTGTTCGGCTGTTTTTAACGTGTTATAATTTTTCTGAAATATAACACCACCAACTTAACGGAAAGTCTCTGTAATGTCTGACTAGAGTCGGTATGTACACAAGGACTCGACTAACGTGGGAGTATAATCCATACCAGGGAGTTCCAAGTACGTTTCTCACTCATTGTTTAGTACAATATTGTATACGTGGTTCGCCGCTCCTTGACCTCGCAGGAAATGGCTTTCAGAGACACGTGGCTGAATTATTTCTTTGCTTTAGGAAAATTAAAAAGAAAAAAAAACATAAATATTGAAAAGTTTATCATCCATACGGGAAAAGTATTTCTTTCATGTTTTTCAAGTTTATTCAATTTCTAATGAATTTACATAGACTTGACCACTGGTCCTTTGTTTTTAGATCTAGTAGTGTATTAGCCTTTGTTTTTAGATCTAGTAGTGTATTAACCTTTGTTTTTAGATCTAGTAGTGTATTAAAGAAAGTTTGGTATCAGGCAGTTTGTTCTCCTGTTACTGGGGGTATGTAAAGTAAGTAGTTTCCACACAAGGGCAAACTTACTCAACATAAGTCCCTCTGAGGAGTACAAAAAGCTAATCTAGGGCGTATTTCCAGACTCCGCTTTAGTTTCACTCTTATATGTTATTTTAGTAAGCTAGCCTATATGATGTATCCTATCCTAGTGAACCTATATGATGTATCATGTCCTAGTAAGCTGGCCTATATGATGTACCATGTCCTAGGAAGCTAGCCTATATGATGTATCATGTCCTAGTAAGCTGGCCTATATGATGTATTCTGTCCTAGTAAGCTAGCCTATATGATGTATCATGTCATAGTAAGCTGGCCTATATGATGTATCATGTCCTATTAAGCTAGCCTATATGATGTATCCTATCCTAGTGAACCTATATGAAGTTCCGTCCTAGTAAGCTAGCCTATATGATGTATCCTGTCCTAGTAAGCTGGCCTATACGATGTATCATGTCCTAGTAAGCTAGCCTATATGATGTATCCTATCCTAGTGAACCTATATGATGTTCCGTCCTAGTAAGCTAGCCTATATGATGTATCCTGTCCTAGTAAGCTGGCCTATACGATGTATCATGTCCTAGTAAGCTGGCCTATATGATGTATCATGTCATAGTAAGCTGGCATATATGATGTATCATGTCCTAGTAAGCTAACCTATATGATGTATCCTATCCTAGTGAACCTATATGATGTTCCGTCCTAGTAAGCTAGCCTATATGATGTATCCTGTCCTAGTAAGCTGGCCTATACGATGTATCATGTCCTAGTAAGCTGGCCTATATGATGTATCATGTCCTAGTAAACTGGCCTATATGATGTATCATGTCCTAGTAAGCTAGCCTATATGATGTATCCCGTCCTAGTAAGCTAGCCTTTATTATGTATCCTATCCTAGTAAAATAACCTGTATTATGTTTCCTAGCCTTTGGTGTATTTCTCACTCCTCCAATTTACCCCGGTTCAAATTAAAAGCCGCAATGTTAGTGTCGGTCGCATGCACAGTTATTACTCTGAGACACTGAGACGGCTACTAAGAAAGACAGATCAATGGAATTGCATTGACTCTGCTGACGTACGGAACCTAATACTCACTCTATAGTGTAGATTGATTTAATAACTACACCGTTAAGAAATATCTATATCTCATTTATAGATAAGCAAACGCAGTATAGTATTGACCAGTGTTACGCTGACGTGTCAATATTGTGTATAAAACTGGGCCATTCTTATTTCTTGGTCAGCTAGATTCCTCGGGTGTCCTTAGATATTGACATTTAGGTTTAGCCGCAAACACATTGACCACTATCCTATTCCAGTGGTCAGTTCGCCCGGAATGTAAATATTGATGTTTTAACTCTGACCTGAGCTATGTCACCGTCCGTCATGTGGGGAGCTATAGTAAGCCCTCAGGTGGGGAGCTATATCAAGCCGTCAGGCGGGGAGCTATAGCAAGCCGTCAGGCGGGGAGCTATAGCAAGCCGACAGGCGAGGAGCTATAGCAAGCCGTCAGGTGGGGAGTTATAGCAAGCCGTCAGGCGGGCAGCTATAGCAAGCCGTCAGGTGGGGATTTATAGCAAGCCGTCAAGCGGGGAGCTATAACAAGCCGTCAGGTGGGGAGCTATAGCAAGACGTCAGGCGGGGAGCTATAGCAAGCCGTCAGGTGGCGATTTATAGCAAGCCGTCAGGTGGGGATTTATAGCAAGCCGTCAGGCGGGGAGCTATAGCAAGCCGTCAGTTGGCGATTTATAGCAAGCCGTCAGGTGGGGATTTATAGCAAGCCGTCAGGCGGAGATTTATAGCAAGCCGTCAAGTGGGGATTTATAGCAAGCCGTTTGCGTATTGCAGAGTTATCTTCTCTTGGGAGCAGGTATTGATTGTAACGTCATTTGTTTGTGAGAGTGACGTCATCAATTTTTGAGAAAACGACGTAATTTTCTCACACAGACCAATGGCATAACAATCAATACCTGCTCCCAAGAGAAGATAACTCTGCAATACGCAAAGACGGAATAGCAGGCCGTCAGGTGGGGATTTATAGCAAGCCGTCAGGTGGGGATTTATAGCAAGCCGTCAGGTGGGGAGCCAACTTTACTGTTAATACCTGTATCAACAGAGGTGTTGCAAACGTATAAGATATCTTTAAATGTAATACAGATATATCCAAAAGAGTTATAATATTTTATAATATAATAGAGATATCTTTAAATGTAATACAGATATCTCTAAAGAGTAAATTTGTTTAAGATATAATAGAGATATATTTTATTAAATGTAATAAAGATATCTCTGAAAGAGTTAAACTATTTTAAAATATAATAGAGATATCTTTAAACGTAATATAGATATCTCTAAAAGTGTTAAAATATTTAAACATCTAACATAGATATATGTAATGGATTAAACATATTTTTCAATTTCAACAAATTTTATTGACAAAAGGATATTACAATGTCAAAAGGATTGGACAACAGGCTTAAAGCCTATGTAAGTCCAGGTATATATAGTATAGTATGTATCCTAGCCTTTGGTGTATTTCTCACTCCTCTATATTACTCCGATTCAAATTCAAATTCAAATGACATATATATATTTCTTAATGATGTAAAGATATCTTTAAGTGTAACAGAGATATTTCATGTAATTAGGATTATAGGAGATGTTTCTATTGTTTATCAGATATTTCCTAAACTAATAGGGATATAGAGATCTTTTAGATATTAAATGTTAAGTTGTCTTGCCATAGGGAACAGGATTAAAGAGATATTTCACTACATTGTGTTTTATCATGGGTGATTTTTACTGCTAATTCTCGTATCGACCTATCATCGTGTAAAACGTACTTCCTCTCTATCGTATTCACATCCCTCAATCCTAATTTAAGTAAAAAGTCGATTTAATACGTAGTCGGTATGCATATTGCATACATCAAAATTGATCACTAAGAAAAACATCTTCAAAAAATGTAAACCTACATTTTTCAATACATATAAAATATACGTACACTCATGTTCAAAAAGGGGGTATATATAATCTGATATCGTTGATAAACAATTCTTGGGCTCATGTTTACATTGTTAATTAATTAATCAATGTGTCTAATGCAATATTTCTGCATAACGCATTTCCTTTTATGATGCAATATCTAGATATCTTGTTACGACAAAATCTATTATTTTTAAAGAAAAAAACAACAACCTAAGAATGAAAAAAGAAATTATATAAATCGCATTAGATCTACGTCAACTTACGATGCAAGGGAAATAACTTGTGGAAACCTAAACCGGAAATAATTATATGGAATTCTGGGAAATTATCCACTATGGCAGCTGTTTTGTGTCGTGTTCACAGTTGACATGCAAAGGGCTAGGTAAATAACGTCTACTCAATGTTAACTCAAAAGTCAACATTTCCTATCTTTGCGTATTGACCTCAATTTCATATTTGTATGTTGATAATATCAGTGAATATTTTACAAAAGCCCATTCAATGTGACCCACCCCCTTCATTTAGCGATTATTTTACGATTCCGTCACTTGACATCGGTCAGGAAGGAGTCGATGGTCCTGTTCCGGATTAACCAAGAAAGGGTTTAGCACAACAAGCTGTATATGCCTGCTTTCCGTTACAATACAAAAATTTTGAGTTGTAGCATTTGTGAATTTAAGAAGGATTAATCAGTAATCTGGAAATAATAATATTCTGTCGATCAGGACCGGGCCGTAGTTTGTCATTGACATATCAACACTGACCGGTTGTTATAAATATATGAATAATTATTCATTATATCAATTTGCATTTCGTTCATATATCTACTTATTTGGAATATATATACGAATAAATGACGGGCATACTTTTACGTAGTAAGGTTTGAAGTATGGCCGAACTGTCAGGTCTGGTTTTCACAACGGCATAATATAACAATTGGTAATAATCCTGCATAGTCATCTATCTGTTATACTTCACAGAGACCAAAATGGTTTTAATGCGGAGGGGGTTAAGTAAGCATGCGATACCTAGCTTCAGTTAATTCCAGTTGGAAGGGATTGATGCTTTAAATGCCTCTACTCCTTGCGCCCCAAACTGTGTTGTCGTCCAGGTAGTTCCAATCTGCATTTGGGTAACAGTTACCTACCTAGCGGGTTTACAGTAACAATTTTATTACTGAAACAGGGAATAGAGTAAAATAAAAACAAACTTCTTTTAAATGCTTGCGTGTCAATCTTTCAACATAATCTAGTAAATAATACAATGAGGAACATTTTTACGAAAAAAAATATCTTAATGTTTTGTTATTTCACTTATTCCCTATTTTAGTAATACAATTGTTACTGTAAATTGGTAACTGTCAAGTATATACCCAAATGCAGGATTATTACCCATATGAACCATTGTTCCCAACCTGCACTAGGTGGGGATGGAATAACACTGTTTCTCTAGATCTGAAGCTAAGAAGCTGAGAATAGTGGAGATTGGAATTGGGATATACTAAACTTTTCTTTTTCACACTCATATGCTGTAGCAGAACTGGACTGGGTCGATTGTTGGCGACCAGTGCCAATATTCATGAAACCGTCCTCATGCGGAAACATGGATTTTATGCTCGAGCCTCATTCCTTGTTTTAGTTCATAAAAAAAATCTCATTTTTTCAATGATTTGGAAAACAATTGAAGAGACTGAAAGCCAGATAATGTTTACATTATTTTTCTGATTGTTTTACATGGTTTCAGAAATTTGGTTTGAGCATTCCATGCTTGAGCATGAGAACGGTTTCATGAATATATATATATGCCTGGTAGCTCAATTGGTGAAGCCTGTCTAGAGGTCCCTGCATAGTTTCGAATCCCGGTAGGGCCATTGCATTTCTCTTGCTCTGTTAAAATTCATACAGTTCTGTATTTGTACAAATGGACTGTACCATGATGATTGTTCAGTCGTGTTCCATCCAAGGAGTAACAACAGTATAATCATCATCATTATCCAATTTTTAATATAATAACATATACCCATAATTAACCTATCATCAAGTAAAGGAATCAGTCATCCATTTACAAACTTCTTCAAACTTTGCAAATCTGATGAGATGTCCGAGACAGTTAATGCTACATTTGTAAGTTACATTCTAGATTGGAAATATGCATGTAGGTATTTATAGAATTAGGCATATTTATTGCATGTACTGTACATGTTTGTCCATAAGTATTTTTCAATTTGAACAGTTACTCAATATAATTCTTTAGTTTACATAATAATCGTCAAGTAATAAGTGCATTTTCAGATTGCAAATGGGTAGATAGACCCATACCCTTATTAATCTTCAGTAGTATTTCTTTGCAGGGCTAGCTGCAGCTGCTGTCAAAGAAATGTGCACCATGTGAACGTTAGCCAGTTATTTTTGAAGAGTTGTGACTGACAGCCAAGATGACCAACTTTATCCCCATGGTATCATCGTCGCCTCCTCCTCTAGAAGATGGGGGAGGAGGAGGGTTCAATGAGTGGGACGATGAAGATGATGACTTTGGAACATTTGCAACTGCTACAAACGGAAATGATTTCCAGGCCTTTTCTGATCAGTCATCAGCTGATCAATGGAATAACATTCCTGATATGCCATCTGTACCTCCAAATTGTGAATTCGGAAAATTTGCAGATTTTAGCAATTTTGAAAGTGACTCAAAGATAGACTGTATGCAAAATGGTGACATGACTCCAGAGGCAGTGGATAATGACACGCTCAGTAACGATTCCAAAGAAGGAGATAACGAAGATAAAGGTGATAGTTCCAATAAATCAGGTGGTATGAAATTGTCCTTAAAAACGGTGAATGACTTTGTAAATAATGACAATGTACAAGAAAGCCCAGTAATGCCTTGTGATGACAGTGATCAGCAGAAAAAAATGCACAAAAGTCAGTCAGACAATCTGGACAGCATCAGTAGTGTGATATCTGCAGGGGACTCGGGACTGTGTAGTACTGACATATCACCCGTCCCTCAGTCAGACGACAATGTCGGACCAGAGGACAACAGTCAGGAATCTGATCCCGATGACTTTGGCGATTTCCATTCTGATTCCTCTGTAGGGAAAGAGGCCTTAAGAGGCAGCACAGAAAACATGGAAGTGATAGAAGAATGTGGAGGAAATGTTTCAATGGTTAACAGTGAAAACAATGACAGCAGTGCAAATTCTAATAACCAAGTAGCAAACGGGATGGGACCTGAAAGTGTCGAGGACCGAGAAATTAGAACTAGTCAATTAAATGGAGACAGTAACTGTGATTCTGTATCAGAACAGGAAGTACATGAGCGTGTGTCACCTTTAAGTCACTGTGAGAATACAAACCAGTACAACAGTCGCACCTCACCTATTGACAAAGATGACCATTCTAAAAAGGAGGAGTCCTTATGTCCAGAAGAAACAGATGAAGAAAGATGGGCCGAAGGTCCAGATACAGAAGACAGATTGGGCATTGGTCAGAGTCCTGACGCAGGGAAAGAGAATCAGAAGGCAGTTGTTGACATAGAGGAGAGGTGTCTGGTAGTTGATCCAGACACTGTAGAGGATACAAAAAATGTTCAAGACCAATCTAACACAGACAATAGACATCATTGTGGGAATGTTGTTTCTGATGAAACGAAGGAAGAATGTCATAACGAGATTGACAGTGAAAAAAGTGAACTTGTAAGGACATGTAGTGCTATTAAGGCAGTGGCAGAACGAGATGTTAACCATGAGTCCACCATGATAACTTTGAAACATTCTGATGCCCCAGTATGTGATGAAGCTGAGGACGATAAAACATTCCATGAAGTGGATGACAATGAAACAGATTGTGGAGGCACTGAACAATTGCAAGACATGAAAGATTCTGGATTCGTTTTTGCGGATTTAAGTTCGTCAGAAGAGGAGAACTGTGAAAAGAAAGAGCAGGAGCCTGAAGCCAAACTCGACGAAAACTGTGATATTTCTAAGCAAACTGTCGATAATAATGAAGACTTTAATGTGATTGACAATGAAGAGTGGTGTGAAGATTCTGTTTCTCCTGGAAGTAAAGAAGTACAGGCGACTGAGAATGACATCATTAAACCACAACCCTGTCCTGGTTCAGATGATGAGTTTGATGACTTTGCTGACTTCAGTTCAGCTCCTTCATTCAGTGTACAAGAAGGATGTGAGGTCAAGTCAGGTGATGTTTCTGTAAATGAAAGATCACCATCAACAATTAATGAACAAAAATCAGCTGTTCAGGACATAAACTATGAAGATGAGGAAGAATTTGATGATTTTGCAGATTTTCATAGCAGTAAACCTGTAGAATTAGATATCCAGCTATCCAAGCCATTGCCACAGGAAGTTACAGGTGGCAATGAAAAATCAGAAAGTTTGGATGGTGACTCAGGAAATTGTAATAAAGATGATGTTGACGATGATTCTGATAGTTTTGCTAATTTTGGTACATCGTTTACTTCTAAATCAAGTGAAAATAATTCAGGTACAAGTGCAGTTGTTACTGATGAGACTAAATCTGGATCAGACAGCTTTGCTGCATTTCCTTCAGCATCTGCAGCTGATGGTGATCATGACGATGAAGATGATTGGGCAACATTCCAAGCGCCACCTACACTGGACCAGGTTGGTGCTGGCAGTAATGACGATGAGGACTTTGGAGAATTTGAGGACTTTGACAATGCTGGAAAACCCAAGGGTTCCTCGACCAGTAGTGCTGGGGACTTTGCCACCTTCAAACAGCCTGAACCAGTAGCGGTAAAGGTAGGTTGTCATAATTAGACTGAGTATTTCAACAAGCACATTAGTTGTCATAAATGTAGTTAGTGGTATCTAGAGGCATCATCTGATCAAATTGAAACAAATTGAACTCGTGTAGCTGTTATTAAGGTAAAAAGTATGACCTGTATACATAAATTTCCATTTTATTTTTCATTTGCAAATTGGTTGTCTAAAGTTTTTGTTTCCATTTATATAATAAGATAGGTCTTTTCATGATGAGTAACAATACATATAAACTAATTTTTGTTCCATTGTTCTTGTTTTGTTGTGCTGTTACAGCCAGTAGAAAAGCGTACGTCACGTGAAGTGATCAACTGTTGTTTTCCTGAATGTGATGGGACAGACCTGGATGACTCTGCAACCAATAAAATGCCTCTCCTTCTGGACGACTGTTTTAATGGGGATGTGGCTGTGGAGGATAAGTAAGATCGATAATTAAATACATTCTGTGTACATTTTTAACATTGCTGGTCTCAAATAAACAACTGATACTTCATCAAATAAGAAAGAGTTTAAGTTCTTATATGAAATAACTATTCCAATTATGGTTAAGTTTAAATGCTTAAATATATATATTTTATAAGTATTATATTAATTACATAATTTGTTCTACGTATGTTTACAGTTCATTTACATACTAGAAGCATTAACTATTTAATTGCTTTCTTCAATACTGCTTATACTTTACCCTTATATTTAATAGTTAATATTAATTTCAGATTGGCCATAAATATGAGCTAAATTTTTATTCATATTTGTTTATTTCGGTAAGTATTAATGCAATACTTGTTTACAGAACTACAACTGGACCACTGATATGGCTCAAGTTGAAGTCTCCCAATAGTACCATAGAGATATCCAAGTTGTGGTCTGATTCTCACAGCAATGGCAAACTGTTTACCACACTACGCATAGACACCCGCAATATTGTAAGTACAGGTAGTCCAACTCCATTACTGTAGGGGTGTGAGCGGGATTTTACACAGGAAGAAGATTACGCTATAACACATTTCACTTAATATTGCTGTCTTTTTCATAATATTTGATGTAACAGTTATTCTGTTAATGTTACTTAACCTATTTTGAAGAGCTGCTTTATGTTCCGTCATTTGGACCGTGTTACCATCTCTTGTTTTCAGTCATACTTGAATGTGTTCTGATGTTTATATTGTTATCTACATCTATTCATTTGCTTCCAGATTTCTAATCTGCCATTTATTTTAAAATATTTGAAATCAAATTAGACACTTAGTAAAAAAAAAATCAAAATTGTCATGGGCTATCATGGAGCTTTTTTGGATAATCAGAATTTAAAAATTATCGGCCAATTTTTAAGTACCATATGCATGAACCTGGTATGTTTGTAGCTGTTAGGTCACCGGAAGCCATCAGTTCCCGTGTATGCTGCCAATCTGACCCTGCTGGAGCCTACCAAGGGCCCCACACCTCCGTCCGAGACGGCAGACACCAACAAACTTGTGGACATGACAAAGGTCGATGACAAGCCAGCCAGTCAGGTAATTAGACGACCCTGTGGGCAGATGGTTTGCACTTTTGTCTGTAATCGTTGTGTGTTTACTTCATCAGCAACCGAACTCAATTGTTATGCTTTTGCATGAATAAGTTAACTATTTTGATATAAAATGCCCATTCATGGGTTTGGCATCATCTTCAAAGATGTGATTTAATTTGAATAAGATATGAAATCAACTCTTTGCTGTTGACTTGTGGCATAGGCTCACTGGAATATTGGCATCGTGGCATAGGCTCACTGGAATATTATAGCATCATGTATCATAGGCTCACTGGGATATTGGCTATGATGTCAATCATGTATTTATATAATAAAAAAAGATGAGACCTCTAAATGTAGCCCAGTACAGGCTTTTTGTTAAAAATGCATGTTTCTAGTAACTTTTAGAGCTAGAATTTTTGAAGTTATACCTGTATGATTGTGGGAGTCATCAATAAGGTATTGCACATCTCTACAAATGTCGTACATTACTTCTGCCTTACCTTTTATACCTGCTGTATACCACAGTGTTGTATATGTCTTTTATGTGCTGATCCACTACAACCCATGTACCTGAATGTACCCTGTCAGCTTTGTCTTGTGACTGTAAGACATTGTAACTACATGTACCTTTGTACTCCCCCTGTACCTGTGTCATGTGTCATACCCTGTCACCTCTGACAGACATTGTAACTACCTTTATACTACCCCTGTACCTGTGTCATGTGTCGTACCCTGTCACCTCAGCCTTGTGGCTGTAAGACATTGTAACTACCTTTGTACTGCCCCTGTACCTGTGTCATGTGTCGTACCCTTTCAACTCTGACAGTCATTGTAACTACCTTTGTACTACCCCTGCTCCTGTGTCATGTGTCGTACCCTGTCACCTCAGACTTGTTGCTGTTAGACATTGTAACTACCTTTGTACTACCCCTATACCTGTGTCATGTGTCGTACCCTGTCAACTCTGACAGTCATTGTAACTACCTTTGTACTACCCCTCTACCTGTGTCATGTGTCGTACCCTGTCACCTCAGACTTGTTGCTGTTAGACATTGTAACTACCTTTGTACTACCTCTGTACCTGTGTCATGTGTCGTACCCTGTCACCTCAGACTTGTTGCTGTTAGACATTGTAACTACCTTTGTACTACCCCTGTACCTGTGTCATGTGATGTACCCTGTCACCTCGGACTTGTGGCTGTAAGACATTGTAACTACCTTTGTACTACCCCTGNGCGCTATTTTTGGTGCGTTGTGCGGTCCCACAACTGTAACTACCTTTGTACTTCCCCTGTACCTGTGTCATGTGTCGTACCCTGTCAACTCTGACAGACATTGTAACTACCTTTGTACTACCCCTGTACCTGTGCCATGTGTCATACCATGTCACCTCTGACAGACATTGTGACTACCTTTGTACTTCCCCTGTCCCTGTGTCATGTGTCGTTCCCTGTCACCTCAGACTTGGGGCTGGAAGACATTGTAACTACCTCTGTACTTCCCCTGTACCTGTGTCATGTGTCATACCCTGTCACCTCTGACAGACGTTGTAACTACCTTTGTACTACCCCTATACCTGTGTCATGTGTCATACCCTGTCACCTCTGACAGACATTGTACACACTTCATCATCATCACCAGTTTCCTTTTCTTCCTCTGTATTTATATATTGACTTAAACCAAGTGTCTTTTTCTATTTTTCTTTAACACAAACTTACCCAATACAAACATTATTCATAACATTACAATCAATACAACACTAGGGACATCTGTATAAGGGTACATTTCATGTGGTGTATTGAATACATTCTTTGTGATCAAAGTCTTTTTTTTTCTTTTACTCCCTTTTTTATGCCATAAGAAATGGTTTGTTTCGAAAGAAAAGATGTTTGGTTTCTTTGTCCTGAAATCCCTACCTGTTCACCTTAATCTCCCATTCCATTATATTAGTGTAATCTCTGTAGGTATTCGACAAGGGAGATAACTGTTCACCCTACTCTCCCATTCCAATATATTTCTCTGTTATATAAATTTGATAAATGTATATTAATATAATCTCTGTAGGTACTCGACAAGGGAGATAACTGTTCACCTTACTCTCCCATTCCAATATATTTCTCTGTTATATAAACTTGATAAATGTATAATAGTATAATCTCTGTAGGTATTCGACAAGGGAGATAACTGTTCGCCTTATTCTCCCATTCCAATATATTTCTCTGTTATATAAACTTGATAAATGTATATTAGTATAATCTCTGTAGGTATTCGACAAGAGAGATAACTCCAAGCAATGTAAAGTAAATGCATAGGTATTTAACCATTGTATCCATACTAAATGTTCCATTGTTTTACATTTAAGTTTAGCTCTGTACAAATACATACTAAACCTGTTAGTGACATCACCATATGTATGAATGTACCAGCATGAAGCGGTGTCTTGTGGTATAACTGGTAGACTAGACCTCTAACATATGGCTGTGGTGTTGCATGCTGGTATTTTTTAAACCCAGTGTCAGGTTTCATGTTTGGATCAAGGAAAACCTAGTTTTGTGTCAGATAAACAATGAAATATTTCCCATTCTTCCATGAAGATTATATTGCCAGCCTATGTCTATATGTATCTTAATGGATTATGCTGTTGGGAGGTGTTATTATTTACCCAAATTTCTATCAATCCCCAGTATGATCAGATATAAAACATAAAAAAGAAGATGGTAGTAGTGACACCTTCCATTGGGTTACTAGTTACTGAATGCCGGCCTCTAGACTCAGATCTGCATCATTGTTATCCTCAGTTGACCTTTCCATGATGTGGGTCTACTGCAGTCCTGACTTATATTCTTTACCTACTGAAGATAGTTATGGTACATGGCTTACCCCCTGGTAGCTATAGCCATGCAGGTGTTTTCTATACCTCATAAAAACCAGCGGGAAGCAAAAGTGTTATAAAATGTATGTCTGGGCCGGGGTATGAGGTGGTGTTGAAAGTGGGTACGTTGTGGTACAGGTGGACTAACGTTTACGGTAAACTGTAGATCTAGTGCTGTTAATGATTGCTGGCTGACATTGTATCGTGATCGTTTCAGGATCTCCCGCCTGTACAGTTTGATTGGACCAATAGTGGGCTTACTAACCCCCTGGAAGGTAAGTACACTGGTACTGCCTTCGTAGTCTACCCATGGTCATACATCTGCATGCATGGCTTGGCAGGTGTACTTCTGGTGACAGTTAATTTTATCGTCTAATCAGTGGTTTTTAAGCAGCATTAAAGCCTTTGTTAATTAAAACTATGTTGGTATTTTTATCTTCCCCAATTTTACCTTTAATGTTGTGGCGACAATCATAACAATGAGATCTTACCATTTGCTTATCATTTTTTGAGTTTTTGTTATACATTAAACATTATAATAACATAATCGCATAAATATGAATGTAAATCAACTAAACACAGATGTTATGCAACCCTATACAATACTCACATATACACAACGCTTATTTTGATATGACAAAATCAATTAAGAAAATCCATGTTATTTTAGAGATTGTTGGTATATATATCCGTGGCATTATTATTAGTTTTGATTATATGATTCATTACTGAAATCAAAATACGTGTTTTAGTATTAGCTATTTATAACATTGAATTACAACACTAAGCAGTTATGTTATTCAAGGTTTATATGCATGAAGTATTGGATATATATCAAACATCAGCTTATGCTTGGCCAAACACACATAATGATCTCAGGTCGTAATTATTAAATTCTGTTAGGTGATATCGGGATGGTGTTTGAAGATAAATACTAACTACAGTCAAACCTGTCTTAGCGACCACCTCTATTTATTGATCACCTTCCTTATGTGGCTGTAATAATACCTCCTGATGACTTTTACTATATAATTGATGTGTACCATGGGACTCCCCATGTAACCGGACAGGTTTACAGTGACATATTGGTGTCAGAAACGATATTAGCTGATGGTTTGGTTTAGATAGAACCACAGATCATGATGAAACTCACATATGTTTTTCAGTGTTTACAGGTGTTTGTCAGGAGCCTGTTTTTACAAATACCTATCTTATGTGACATAATTTCCTATGAGCCTTAAATGGTCACTTAAGACAGGTTTGACTACAGCTTAACATAGACACTTATAAATAACTTTTGTATAAATATATAAAAAGAATTATTGTTTTTATTTTTAAAAGGATTTATAAAAAAATAAAATCCACATTTGAGCAACACAACATGATATTCAGCTGAATACATTACAGTACCTACACAACTGCAATGAACCAGTTTGATCAGTGTTAGTGGTTACATGACAGATTTGTGACCTTATAGCTAGGTATACATTACACTGTACCAGTCACAACATCGTACCAGGTAACCATCATCTTGCTATTAAATTTACAGGCAGTGAACATGACATCGCAGCAGAAATTGGTACATGTATACACTAAACGTCTATTGCACTTTCCTTCCTTTCTGCTTGTCTGCAGCTACCATCTCTTCTCTTTCCTTCATCACCGTCCAGGTCATTTGAAGGTTGTTCAAGCACTGTAGTCAGATTTATATAAATTCAACAGCTCTGTGTTATCACATGTTTTGTGTATGTAGCAAGATTGCCTACAGTGCTAGCAGACCTGACGAGGATGATGGCCAACATGTATATCAGTGTTATGCTTCTGTCATTGGTAGTTCCTCCAGGCTTAGTTTCTGTAGTAAAACATCATTGTAGTCATATGTACATGATATAATATAGTGCTTTTAATGTTGTAAGATAGTTATTTAGCTATTTACAGTATATATACATAGTTGATGTGTATGATAAATATTGAACATTATACCATGATTTCAGACTCAAGTTTCCACCACACGGTGTGACACCATGGCCTGTATTCATCGATCATGAAACCGTTGTCATGCTCAAACATGTCTTAAGCTCGCTTAAATCAATTGTGACATGGCTGAAAGGTCATTTGTAAATATTGTAAACAGTATTAATTTGGCTTTTAGCCTCTCCAAGATTCTTCCAAAACACTGAGAAAATGTGGATTTTTGAAAATTTATCTCCAGAACAAGAAATTGGGCTTGAGCACAAAATCTGAGTTCGAGCACAAGACTGGTTTCATTTATACAGGCCCAAAAGGCATTGAAAATGAGAAATGTTTGCTCCATTTAGTGTTTTCTTTCTTATATTCATGATCAATGCCCTTGAAGAAAGCAAATTCAAAACTGGTAAAAAAATGAGCAAATGGGCAAATTAAACTTATGTAAAAAGACAGCAATCAATACAGTCCATAGTACATGGACACTATAGACAGCTGTTTGGAGGAGGAGAAATTGACAGAAGCATTGCAATCATTGAATTTAAGATCACTAGGAACTGTTTTATCACAAAGTGTTCTATATCTTGGTTCTACCATGGCCTCTATCTACTGTACCTCTATCACTAACCATTGCCCCACTCTGTCCTTCCCACTGTCTACTATACACTCGTACTGCCCAGAGTTGTACTAACTTTACACACAATGAAGGTTAAATCTAATGCCAGTAATGGGACATAGTGGGTTCACCTATCATAGGCCTGCAATGTATGGGCATTCTCATGCCATTTGATTTATTTATCATGTCAATTTTACATAAAGGATTACTCACTCTATTTAAGTCCAGTTGTTCATAGCATTAATTTGTTAATGAGTCAATAATTAAAATTTTCAAAATGTATTGAAGATTTTTTTTTTAATACTAATATCTTTATGTTAAAACTTGATTTTAATGCGTTTGATTTTAGTCGCATTACAGTGTGAAACATTTCCAAAAATGACAGGTGAAAGATTTGAATTTACTTGTCATCAAGCAAAAATATATCAGGCTTTGAACAACTGTCCTTGGCTGTACTGTCTATATCAAAGTGTATGTACTTATGTACTGTACGTAGTGGATATAAATACAGGTAAGATCTGTATCCTAAGTTAGTCATTACCGTGCAAAGATGAACTGATCAGAACTTTGTTTCTACACATTTCTCTACATAAAGGTATGGAGGCAGATACAACGTTAAAACCTTCTACAGGACTAATCTAATTGGCTCATTTCTTTGCACTTCAATAACTAGATAGATATTTAATTACATAGTTAATTGTATTTTTCAAATTTTCTAAATAATTTTGATTAGACTTAAGTTAGTTGCAGTGGAATGTTAAATCATCGAAAACTTATAAATATCATAGCAATTTACGGGGTGTATTTTACCTTCGGGATGTGAAAACAATTGGAAATGCACAAGTATTTAAACAATATTTCAACTGGTAGTTCGGGTCCTTGTTACATTGTGATAAAATTCTGTATTTACAAATGTATATACAGCAGAGCAGTTAATGGCAAAATAAATAATTAAAATAGTTTTACACTAAATTCAAAGTTTCTGTCTTGTAACATACTTAGATAGAATACAATTTGGTGTTAGAAAGTACTTATAGATAACAATCGACCAGGTGTTGACTAATTACTGTTTTTATAACTCAATGTTTTGATTGTTTCTTCATCACTTGATACTGTTAATCACTAAAGTATTGGTGAGGGATTGATAGAGGGGGAGAATGACAAGTAAACTGTGGCCTACATTTCCTGGTATACAGTTGCAGAAAATTATGCAATTTCCTACCTATCTACCGGAGTTAAGATTATCATGTTATACCTATTTATCCTGTTACTAACAATAGAAGTGTCTGATACTAAGTGACCAAACAACTACTCCTCTCGTATTGGTTTACTATTCAAGTTTCCTGAAAGAGAACTGGCATCTACACTGAAAATCGGTTGAAGCGTCATTCTTATGCTTCAATTTCTACCAGTATGTCAGTTGATATGTCATGGTGATTGTACACTATATATGATAATCCTTGCTGCAAATTTTCATCAGACCGGTAGATGACATTGCTAGGTTAATGTGTAATAATATCTGTTTTTCTGTTTTTCTTCTCTAATTTTGCAAAGTTAAAAGACGGCAGGATAAATTGAGCACATTGTTATAACTAATGAATTAAAATGCAACTTTTAATTTGGATTTGGGAACCATCTATTCTCTGTGTGTATATAGAATGTTTAAATTATATTATGTATTTATATATTAATTATTTATGTATATATTCACTAATATGGTATGTACTCATTTCATCTGTGATAAATTGATCATGACATCACCAACAATTACAATAAGGAGAGTAGTGGACTTATTCTGATTTAATGGGTGGGCTTATTGATGAGCATGGGCTTATTACATGTAACCATGTTACTATATAGCAGCAAACTATACTCACAGACTTGCCTGGGGTTGTTGTGGCACCACTAACACAAACATAATCTGTTCTTACAGCCAACAGTAAAAGCCTTGAATTGGATTTTTTAGTTGTCAAAGAAGCAGAAGCGGTCGCGAAGATGGGAGGTAAGTTACTTAAAAAATATTATTTGAATATAATATTATTTAATCTCATTATAAAACTATTTTGTCTAGCTTGTCACACACTTCTGTGGCTAACTGTCCCGTTGTTGGTTTGGGGTGAGCAGTAATACTTTTTGGTATGGAGAGGATATACGAATAACAATCTGTGTTGCTACACATGCTTACCGCACTAATACAGTTGTTATATTCCCATGCTTATCACTAGAGTTACATGTAAATGATCCATCGGGTGTATCAACTGTAACATTTTTAATAAAATATTTGCTGGTAATGGTTATATTGCATGTGTCCACTAACAGTTTAAAGTTTTGAATCCCAATCAGCTGTATATATAGATACCAAAAAAAAAGTATATATGCTTCTAGCAAATCACCAGTGCAGTATCAATTTTACAGTTAATTACCAAAAATGCATATTTTGCTATTTTCAAACAAATTTATCGTTTACGTGTCAATTCCTAATTAAGGCTATCTGTAATTTTAGGAAATAATTAATACCTCATTGATGAACACATTATATGTGATTACTGAACAGTTGTTGATTTGACCAATACTAGTATTCTATTATTTTAAACTTATTTGATTAGTGCTTTTGGTGCTTTTGTAATGTTCTATTGTAAGACCAGTGCTTGATTAGTGAACATTTGACAACAAACACTAGTATTCTATTTTAACTAATTTTATTGGTAATGATTTTGGTGCTTATATGTAATATTCTAGTGTTAGACCTTGATTAGTGAACATTTGACAACAAACACTAGTATTCTATTTTAACTAATTTTATTGGTAATGATTTTGGTGCTTATACATTTGTTTGTAATGTTCTAGTGTTAGACCTTGATGAGTGCTTCACCACCTATGCTAGGTATTGATCACTAGTGACGATATGTAGGATAGAGCTACTACATGTTTGCATTGTCTTGGTGTTTGGTTTGCTGTGTTGTAGGAGCAACGCTTTATGTAGGGTGCCATTTTAGATATTTCTTATTTTAACATCCATCTTTCTTTTTCCTGTGACCAAACCATGTGGATATTATTATTAATGGATATTTTAAAATTTTTCACTGAGCGAGTGATTTACCTCATCTACAGAGTTAAGCAGAAAAGTGTTCAAATTTTCTCATTTTCATCCTTCTTGCTATGAAAATACCTTTGTAGCAATCTCATTATGAACTTGTCTGTATTTCTTAGCATTAAGTAGACCAAGCATTATGGGCTCGAAAGTAGAATAACAGAACACTTGTTGATTATATTACCAATTTAACTAGATATATACCTCCTAACCATACCTATTTATACAACTTCTGTTTTCTGCTTTTTGTGGAAGTTGTGTGCTATGTACCACCACTACATGAATCCGCCCACACACAGAGTGACTTGTAATGGAACACATTTTGTGCTGATACTTTTACATTGTTGTTTTGTTGCAACTGCCTTGTATAAATATACATGTAACCGACCTGACATCTCAAAATCCTGTATTTTTTCCTAACAACAGATGAGTGGGATTGGGGTAAGAAACATTTTGCAAGGTTTCCACATGTACATGTATTTGGTGACACTTATCATTTTAATGTATTTGTTTCAGTTTCATTGTGGTTTTTGCGGGAAAATGATTTTTTTTTCTCTGTCCTTATACAGTAATCAATGTACATAAGCAACTGTTTTAAAGCTAATAAATTACTACAATGTTCATTAGGTCAGTTAGTGAATAATGGGTTGCTCGATTTTTTTTCTAAATAATTTAATGGATTGATTTTCATAATAAAAAAATACTTGTTGAATAACTCTTGCCTATTCTGATAATATTAATTCAATAGTGTTACTCTGATGTGGAAAAACTTTCAGATTTAATGTTGTAACTTTGTACTAGTTACTGTTTTACTAAATATTGTATTTAAACCGATGCACAAACCCATCCTTTAAATAATTTTGATCACTTAATGTATGTTTTATAGTGGAAAGTTGTTATTCTAGCTAGAATACTTTAAAACAGAAGGACACATAAAAGATCATTTAAATACAGTACTAGTATACATATTGACATAAATGACTCCAATTAGTAACAAATTGTTGGACAACTTTTATAGAAAAGAAATAAAGTATATAAACACTTCAATGGTATCCTGATTTGACCTTGATTAGTGACAGTTACTACTACATATATGTATTGTCAACCCTATGCTATATAAATACTATCAGGAAAGTTAGACCAAGCTATGTTGTGACCAACTCTGTACCGAGTACTGGACAACTACGTGGGATGAATTGTACTGGACACGAGGCCTGATTTGACAGTGGGAGATTCTTTTAGTGGTTTAGCATGTTATGTATGAAGCATGTTGGCTTGTGATGAGCTATATATATATAGACCCTGTACAGTGTCGTAATCGCTGATGTGTTCGGTGTGTGTAATTGTGGAATTTTGTGCAAGAAACTGGAGTGATGATCTGGCTCCTCCAGGTATTATGGGTACTGTTGATTGAAGTTTTCCTAATTTAACTGTATACAGTATCATTGTGACCAAATATATTTGCAGCACAGGCATTTTCAAAAACTATTGATTTTATTAATTTTATTTGACCAATATAACTTTTAAAGTTTTTGCATTCATAGGCAGATTATTTTTCGTTCAAAAAACAACAAATAGTGAAAATTTATTGGACAAATGGTAATGGACTAGAGAATCTAGAATTTGAAAAATGTCTATTTGGTCACAAAGAAGAAATATACCAAGTGAGGCATTAAACAATGGGACTCTTTCTTCTGTCATTTGCATGTGATGTAAAGTGAGTCAGTATGCAATTACAACCACCCCATCATTCTTTCCTAATGCAAAAAAGTTTGAACTACAGCATTTTGATATTCAAATATGTATATACGTAGTATAGTGCAAATGTAACCGTAGCCACACGTGTATTATGATAATAGAATTGCATTTAGACTTTCAGATGTTTTTAGTATACAACATTTAGTTCATAACCTGAAATTGTGTATACTGATTCAAGCTGCATGTGTTGGGTGTGATGATATTGTATACTAAATAAATACCTTTGTGTACAGTTATACCATTGATCAGGCTGTGTACCTGGTAAGAACTGTGTTAGGAAGCTAACATCATTATAGTAAATAGACAAGATGTATTGATAGTAAGGAAATGTTGGGAAGAGATGACGAAAAAAGGTAATAAAAGATTTGAAAGAGAAATGGACAAAATTTACAGATAATGAGAAAATTTTCGTGGATATGAACAAAATATGCTGGTGCATTGTACGTGTATTAAGTAAAAGCTTGTTGGGAGATCCTGAATCAGAAGCTGCTGAGGTGCTGTGAAGTCATTAGAATATGATATGCTGGTGCTATCGTAGACATGTCATCTTTTATCTCGTCATGAAGTGGTTAACTTGCACTTTTGACACTGTTGTTGCAGTTTTCGACTCCGAGTTGATGCATGGCCAGCGTGATCCTAAAGCAGCCATGCAGCCACTAGAGAACATCCTGGCCAACCTGAAGAGCAGCTCTACTATCCGACCGGCGCGGCCAGCAGAGAACCTAACCCCAGAGGCAACAAAAGTCATCACCTCCCTCCCAAGCCTCTCGTTCATGCAGGCGAGATCCCTCATGTTCCCGTTTAAACAGAGCTCTGATGTGGCATGAACATGACCAATATTTCATGGCTTAGAATTGTAAATACTGACCATGGTCATGATGTTCCTTTTTCAGACAACACTATCGCGTGGCAGGACAGCAACCAACTTTCCCTGGCTTAGATTTGGTGAATTATGACCTTGGTCAGGATTTTCTTTTGTAAAAACAATGCCGTGATGTGGCACCAACTTTCAATGGCTTAGATTTAATGTACCTGGTAGTCTACAGACCCACTGTAGTATCAGAACTGCAACATAACTTAATATGATGTAACAGGTTGTCCATATCAAAACTCTGGTGATCATGAGGCGTGTACAAGCTGGACCTGACCAATCACCTGGTATACACAAGGCATGGCTCTCGGACCCCAGTCTATCCTGTGTAGTATTGCCTGTATTGGTAACAAATACGGACATCAAGGGCAGACAACTCACTCTTGTACACAACAAAATTTTAAAGCAGTTTGTTTTTACTGAAGATATAGACTAGTATGAATAGAAAAGGCTTGTTTCTTTATGTGCTCACGAAAAGCTGTGAATAAAAAACAAATGTTTTAATTTTTAAAATGGAGAAATGACCCAGGGCTGAATGACCACACAAGTCACTTTTTTTCTGACTAATGTATATTTTGTTATTTGTTGTTAAAGTGATATTTTATAGATTTTCGTGTTACAGTTTTTGATGTCTATGTGTTACGATCCCCACTGAAACTTCACTACATCGATAGAAACCTCCACTTCTACATGTAAATAATGTGTATTTGTGTTGTCTGCTGAAGGCACTGGGCTATTATTTGACCCCTACCGCAAGGCCCCTACTGGTTCATTCCAAGGTCAACCAAATAAAATCAACAGCATCACCTACTGAGAAACATTTTAACTTCTTAAAAGGGAAAATTTAAAATACAAATTAATGGTTATTTGCAAACGTTCTGTTATGCATAATCATTCCTATTGGAGATAATATTTCAAGATGTATGTACATTTAGGATAGATTACTTTTGTAAACAAGAAATTGCTCTTCAAAATACTACTGTCTGGACAATGTGTGTCAAATGTGAAAGTGTGAAGATCATTTGTTAAATGAAGCATTTAAAAATTTAAAATTAAGTATGCTAAACCTTACTTACATTATATTATAATGTATAGACCAATTGCTTCTTGAATCATGTATGGATAAAGGGAGACAATTTAGTACTAGTCAATGTGGACTTCTAGTTTGTATTGCTATATGTGATGACAGTATTCGTAGTCAGCTGTAAAACCATGCTGTGAGATTATTGGTGTTGTACATTGTGCTTATACTAGTTGAGAGCCCACAGACAGCTTTATGGTGTATGTTTTAAGCAGGGGAAGGGTACGGCTTTACTTAGGCTAGTTCTACTGCACAAGGTATAGATTTAGACTAGTAATTAGACAGAGTCAACAGTCGGATATATTTATAACCATTGTAACCAAGATGGTGTCAGTTTGTACTGACAGATCCTAGATTTTTGAAAGGTGTGAGCACAAATTCTGTAATAGGGTTAACTTCCAAGAAAACATCACTAGTATGTTACATAAAAAAATACCATTTCAGTATGAAAAAGATTGGGTCAGCTCCCCACCACAACTCTAAGATACTGGTTGAAGAACCTTCCATGTGTTGTGGATGGTGTGACCTGCCAAATGAAAAATCCACCATGTACAAAATGTTCAACTGACCTGACTGACCTCTTTTCATCAGTTATAACTGTGATGCATTCCTACTTTAAATGTGATAATAGTGTGTAGATTATGATCAGCACTTGTAGAGATAAAGCAGATTTTGTCCTGTATTTGTATGTTTCCATGTTGTGGCTGGGCTGTATACAGACCACTGTAGTCCAGCTCCAACTGTTAGACAGTGGCCCACATACACATTGTACCATACATCTGATGTCTACACAGTTCAGCCTTGTTAGTATAGTAAAGATTATCATTAGAGTGTACCATTGGTCTGTTGGGTTAATTTATAGAACACCATCAAAACAGAATGGTTTGAAATGATAGCAATGTATTGTGACATATTATTCAAAATTATAAAAAAAAAAAAGTACCAGGGATGAATATATATATATATTTTTGCTAAAAACTCGAAATTAATATAAATATAACCATCAACTATTATAGCAGTCTTTATACACTAAAGCTCGTAGACTGAATATTGAAAGTACTTTTTTGAGCTTCATATTGTTACTTCTACCTACAAACAACTGATAAGATTTCTGCATTACTCTGCTGTTAAATACCAGCTATATTTCTCTTTTTTTTTTTTTTTAATTGCTGTTGTCAATTCATGCTTCCTGCATTATTCACAAAGATGAAGTAATTAAATTTGTAGTTTTATTACTTGAACAATACCTGGTACAGGTATGTGTATATGTATTGTTTGATACGTATACATCAGCACTTTTGTGTTCCCCTTACACTGGAACATTGGGTTTTATCAACCATTGGTCTGTACTTAAACGAAACCTGTAAGTTTATCTTGTGTAGGAGATAAGATCAGAACAAATGTGTTTGGCATGTTATAATTGAGATTTGTGTAGTGAACATGAGTACAATGCATTATACTGGCTATTTATATTTTCCAGATTGGATGCTTTTTTCTGTTTTGTGAAACTTGTTTATCAATGATTGTTTTTATTATTACAAATAAGCATTTATGATGCATTTGCTGTACGTTTGATCTATAGTAATAATAGGCCTACATTGTAAAAATAACGTTTATAACAAACGTACGCGTTTATGAACGTGTTTCACAGTAAAACTGCCTTCAGTAAGTTAAACAATATCCTGGTTATGTTTACTGTAATTCATTTACATAATCAGATGTCACTTGTGGGAGGAATTTAAAGCAAAATATTTTGATGCTGTCAAATTCTTGAATAAATTATGACATTTTCCAACAGTAGGAGTCTGGAACAATATCAGTGTAATCACAAGCCCATTAGATTTCTGTTGTGCTCCTGTACTTATTCTTACTTGTAATCTATATCAATCAAATTATTTATTCATCAAGTGTAAATATGTAAAATATGAGTTTTGTAATGAAATGTACAAAATCATCTATGCTTTTCTAATTTATTTACTAACACAGGGTCTGGGCCTCACAAATTACAATACACATACCAGTATGTGCTCCTGTGTCTACCAATCTTCTTGTTAACAAAGTGAGAGTGGGGCTTTACTGGAATCAGAGTATCTCTCTGTTGATGGTGTTTGTCTGATGCAAAGCTGCTTACTTTTTCAACCAATATTTATGAAACTTGGTACACACTATCAGTAACTGGTTATTGTGCACTAGTAAATGTAATTGCAATTTTCTTTTCATTTCCAGTTTTGTTTGGGTCATTCCCTTTTCTGCCAATTTAGAAATTTTGTCAAAAGTGCTATGTAATTTTCTTAATTGACATACACAAAATCAACACCATAGGTAGTTGTGTGCTTGTGATTTAATTTGAACTTTTTCGTGTGAGTTATCTCCCCTTTTTTCCAGTTGTAGTGTTTATGAATCTGGGTAAACATGATCAGTACATTCGACAAATTTGCACTTTCAATTCAAATTTGATATCTTTCTGATTAGTTTATAATTTTGTCAAAAGTAGGGCTCCTTCCCTTCTTGACATCTTGGTGCACATGACCTGTACCTTAGTTACATGTAGTTGTGCAAACGCTACAAATTTTTCTTTTTCAACTATTCTTACTGGAGTAATGCCCCTTTCCTGATTGTTTTCAGTTGGAACAAGGGGTGCTAATTAGCTGACTGTGACTTACAGTTCTACATGTTAGTTATAATTTGAAGCCATTTGTTTGTCACGATTTATATGTGATTTCAAGTCATTCCATCCAGCTCCTTTTCATCACAGTTGACCCTCTTTTCTTTATTTGGAATGGTCTAATGTGCTTGTGAGGGGTGAATGTGTTAACACACCAAATAGGGATATTTGGTTCTCAATGTAACTGTGCTGTGTTTGTTAAATGTTCATTTAACTGGTGAAACATGAAATGAAAATTTCACATTAATTGGAGTAAATTTCACATTCTCAGTGATTTTCTTTCTCTCATGTGATAAGAGTCTCGTAATATATGAGATGTGATTTGCATTTCACATGGACTATTATACATATATAATGGAAAAGTGCAATGGGTAACTGAATATGAAGTCAAATTTGTCAATAAACACATTGTAAATATTACATGTCAAAATGTATGTAGAAGTACAGTGTGTTCATTTGAATGTCCCGATACATAAAGGAAAATCAACTTAACATTTGTCTTTGTTATTAATATGGGCAAACTTGATTCTGACATGCCAGGTTCGTGCTTGCTGCTGGCACGCTACATTCAAGCAAAGAGGCATACACGCAAAATGGCCGACACAAGTCACATTGTGTATGGTTTTGCCTATCTCTCCAGTCTGGCGAAACTTCTCATCCAATAGCACGTGCCGAACTTGCGGGACTTAAGGACATACATAATCAAGTGGTAGTGCCGCCTTCCCGGCGGCAACCGGCACGTCAGAATCAAGTTTGTCCTTTGTCAATATTTCACCGAGTGGTATGTCCTTGACATTGGAATATGGTAGTTTGACTGAAGCCTTGGGGCCCTTTGTTCTTGATGGTGGAAATGATGACATCACGTCGTGGTTAACCAATAGCTCCATGTGCCTGTATTACTCGCCTATTATTCAATGCTGTTGGCAAACACGGCTTACATTGGTGACTGCAAAGTGAATCAAGGTCAAATTTATTTAACCAAACTTTTTTACAAGCAAACTAATACAGCAAACTGTACTGCAGGCTAAATATCATCACTTGATATTTTATTGATATTTGTTGTTTTTAACAAACTTGATCTTGTTTCCGCATCAAAATACTGGACAAAAGATACTACAAGTTACTGTAGGCAAGGTTTTCACAAATTTGAAGCCTTTGGCCGAAAAGTGTTCCAAGATAATTAATTAGACGACCAAACAGCCCTCCACACCAGCATGCTAACACGCAAAATGTCATTCTAGGCCTCATGGTTAAGGTTTTAACACATTTTACATTTGTTTAGTTTATGGGCATTAATTCTAACAAGCTATGAAACAAGTTCTGTAATGTTATAGGAGAGGAAAATTGCACTGCTCCACCGGGAGTGGAACCCGGGACTTGCCAAAGTCTAGATGGACACTTGACCAATTGCGATACCTGGGTGCTGGTGATAATGCAGTTCCGCTACATTCCTTCCCTCCTTTTTCGAAGTCTTTCACCCCCATATGGCAACACAGTTTGAATATCCTCTTGCCAAGTATGCACTCGGTACTTGAAAAGAGGGTTGGCTGCAGGTATCACTTTCTGAGATGGATGAAAAATTCATGGCCAGACCAGGACCTACTGAACTCCCCGATACTCCAGGGTTTCTGCTCACTTTTGCTCTCCGCACCCCTTGAATACATGTATGTCAGCAAAATTGAAGGCACACAGCTAGCTATTTGATTGCTCTCGGTTGAAAAGACCTGACCAATTGCTAGGTTGATACCTGTCCTTTGAAGATAACAGAGGAGCAACACCAGACTTCAAAGTCAGTCAATCTTTTGATGTACATCAAATAAGCAAACTAGTCTTTTCGTGACATCCACAAGGGTACACAGAGAGAATGTGAGGGTAACTCCTGGAGTATCAATGATGACCCAACTCTAGAGCTACCTGGGTGCCAGCAATCAACCCTGTGCAGTTCCCCTACAGTAATCTATACCTTCAAAAAAGATTTGACTACGCCTTCAGGTAATTCAGAAATTGTCTAAGATTAAACTGATTTGACAATTTTGACCTTGAAACAGCCTGTAAATCAGTTATGAGCCCTGAACAATTTTATGCTATATATTTTTTCATGACACTTTCTTGTGTGTTTTTACTTTAATATTCTGCTAAATACTGTTCAGAAAAACACCCTACAACTACCACATTCCCACAATTCATCATCATNCTGTTCTGAAACAACTGCTGTAGAAGAGAGAAATGCACTTGACATTTGACAGCCAGTAGGAGAGTAAACAACGCGTTCATTGATGATGGAATGCTTGAAGTCAGTTTTATTTCCCGATATGTATATACTTTTACTGAGCATGGAAGATTTGGAGACACATATGCTATCAAGATTGGTTCCCACCCCTGGGAACTTATTTTCATCATTTCTTTAATGTGAATATCTTAACACGATTACTTAACTATCAAGGTGAGTGATGCAGGCCCTCTTGGCCTCTTGTTACTTAATATGTCCTAGAAGATAGTTTGAACTGGACCACAACAGAAAGGGACAATCAAGGAGTGGTTGATCGGTGAGAAGGTTTTATTTGATTTGGTTTGTTTGTGTTTTACATCCAACTGGATTCGAACCCACAACCCAGTGGTGGAGGGCTAGTGGTAGCAGAATGTCAGATGCCTTAACCACTCCGCCACCGCAGCTCCCCAGAGTGGTTAAAATGTCTGACCGTCTACAATCGTTATCCATCAACCACTGGGTCGCCCGTATGAGGCCTACATGAGGCAGTCGCCTAGTTATTGCCACAGGTCGGTGTTTTTTCTCGGCTTTCATCATAACAATAACTGTTAATAGGACGTAAAACACAAACACAAACAAATCGAACCAAACCAATTTAGCCACTTGGCCACCATTTCCTGCTATAATGACATAATATATATCGTAGCATTTTATATCCAAGTCTGTGGATAGATGTTATCAACACTTGAAGCAACAGGTAGCTCCATATCTGGGTCCAATATAAGACAGAAAATCATCAGAAGTTCTTTACTGATTACATATATAAAAATATAACACTGGGTATCAAAAGTAATTGTATACACTTGTAAAAAGTATAACACAGAAAATCAACAGAAGTTCTTTACTGATTACATATATAAAAATATAACACTGGGTATCAAAAGTAATTGTATACACTTGTAAAAAGTACAAGACAGAAAATCAACAGTTCTGCATAAACATATTAATTCAATGCATGTATATAATCTATAGAACATTTATACATATAATAAACATATACACATTCATATAAAACCACACTAAAATTCCTCAGACATTTGAGCAAGACATCTTACACAATACACAGGATTTTAGCTACATATTTTTTGAAATCACAACAAATAATTATGATATGGCACAACTTTTTCAAATTTTCCACAAGGAAACATACCATCAATCGATTCTGTAGAATAATTACTTTCAAGCTCCTGTCTTTCTTCATCCTTGCAGAGAAAATAACATCTTAGCCATTTTAAGTCTGTTTTGAATGACCGTATATCTGATGCAGTTCATGCATAATGTATAATATAAAAATAAAACATTTAATCTGATATAGTATGGCAGAAAGAAAAGCATAATATTTCAACAACATTTTTTTGCGAGTAAGGAAATATCTAATTTTACTGAAAAATTAAGCCCAAGTTTTCTGATCTTGTCCGTGATTTTTAGTCAAAATTTATCGAGATGATGCAGTCTTTCATGAGTGTAGATACAAGTAAAAGAATCAAACAAGATATATTATGGAGGATTATCTGGGTCATAACATTTGCAGAAAATATACAAATTAACAACATAGAAGATTGAAAGAGAATCTATATTTGCATGGATGTGTAAATGTTACACTTTTCTCCAAAAATTGTAACATTCTGGTGTCTGATGTCAGCATTTATAAGCTGATTTTTAAGAGGTGGTGGTAAAAAGTTTAATTTTAGACTCTAGAATGTTATTTTTAGGGACTTTATATGTTCAGTCTAACTGTACAGAAATGTTACAATCAAATATACATGTCCCTGATTGTGAAATTTACAGATTAAAGCAATATATGTATATGATATGAAGTGGCAACATAAAAAAATAAACAGTTAATATTATTAGTTCAAAATATAACGTGTAAATAAATATATGTACAGTATATATTATCAATTTGAAAATAACTGAATATCACCGAGTGCACTTTTCCCTATATTTCTCTCTCACATGTACTTGTACCAAACAAGGGCCAGGCATAAAAGAGCACTATGTATCTAATTATCATAAACTCAACGCCTCAATGACTTTGATGCACCAGTCTCCCCAAATGTATCAAGCAACCAAGACTTAAGGAAGTCCTAAGTATACATGTAAAAGTGATTTAACAAATACGATTACATAATTTACATCTAATGTTTCAAAGCAAATACTGACAATGTTCACACAGGTCAGCGACATTTTTAGCTCACCTGCCCTTCCGTCGACCGGCATCAACTTTTTACTTAAACAACTTCTTTTCAGTAACCAAAAGGCCTAGGATAATGATATTTGGCCAGTAGCATCCTGGAATCAAGGGCTACCAAGTTTAATCAAATGAATGACCTTCATCCCTTTTCAAGGTCACAGGGGTCAAATATCTTAAAAACTTTCAACAACTTCTTCTCAGTAACTAAAAGGCCAAGGGTGATGATATTTGGCCTTTAGCATGCTGGGATGAAGGGCTATCAAATATGTTCAAATGAATGAAAGTCGCTCATATCCAAGGTCACAGGGGTCAAATATCTTAAAAACTTTCAACAACTTCTTCTCAGTAACTAAAAGGCCAAGGGTGATGATATTTGGCCAGTAGCATCCTGGAATCAAGGGCTACCAAGTTTATTCAAATGAATCACCTTCATCCATTTTCAAGGTCGCAAGGGTCAAATATGTTAAAATCTTTGAACGACTTCTTCTGAATAAAGAAGAGGCCTAGGGTGATGATATTTGGCCTTTAGCATGCTGGGATGAAGGGCTATCAAATATGTTCAAATGAATGAAAGTCGCTCATATCCAAGGTCACAGGGGTCAAATATCTTAAAAACTTTCAACAACTTCTTCTCAGTAACTAAAAGGCTAAGGGCGATGATATTTGGCCAGTATCATGCTGGGATGAAGGGCTACCAAGTTTGTTCAAACGAATGACCTTCATCCATTTGCAAGGGCACAAGGGTCAAATATGTTAAAATCTTTGAACGACTTCTTCTGAAGATCAAAGAGGCCTAGGGTGATGATATTTGGCCTTTAGCATGCTGGGATGAAGGGCTATCAAATATGTTCAAATGAATGAAAGTCGCTCATATCCAAGGTCACAGGGGTCAAATAGGTTAAAATCTTTGAACGACTTCTTCTGAAGATCCAAGAGGCCTAGGGTGATGATATTTGGCCAGTATCATGCTGGGATGAAGGGCTATCAAATATGTTCAAATGAATGAAAGTCGCTCATATCCAAGGTCACAGGGGTCAAATAGGTTAAAATCTTTGAACGACTTCTTCTGAAGATCAAAGAGGCCTAGGGTGATGATATTTGGCCTTTAGCATGCTGGGATGAAGGGCTACCAAATATGTGCAAATGAATGAATGTCGCTCATATCCAAGGTCACAGGGGTCAAATATGTTTAAAACCTTTAAACAACTTCTTCTGAACTACCAAGAGACCTAGGATAATGATATTTTGCCAGTTAGATGCTGGGATGAAGGGCTACCAAATATGTTCAAATGAATGAATGTCGCTCATATCCAAGGTCACAGGGGTCAAATATGTTAAAATCTTTGAACGACTTCTTCTGAATAACGAAGAGGCCTAGGGTGATGATATTTGGCCTTTAGCATGCTGGGATGAAGGGCTACCAAGTTTGTTCAAACAAATGAGCTTCACCCATTTTCAAGGTCACAGGGGTCAAATATGTTCAAAACCTTAAAAACTACTTCTTCTCAATAACCAAGAGGCTGAGGGTTATAATATTTGGCCTGTAGCATGCTGGGATGAAGCCTACCAAGTTTGTTAAAATGAATGACCTTGACAATTATTCAAAACCAAAAGTCCTAGGATGATGCTGTTTGGCAAGTAGCATGCTAGGATGAAGGACTACCAAGTTTTTTCAAACGAATGACCTCGACATATATTAAAGGTCACAGGGGTCAAATATGTTTAAAACCTTTATAAACGACCTCTTCTCAATAAGCAAAAGGCTAAGGGTGATGATATTTGGCCATTAACATGCTGGGATTAAGTACTACCAGTTTTTTTTCAAATTAATGACCTTCGCCCATATGCAAGGTCACAGTGGTCAATATATGTTTAAATCTTTAAATGACTTGTTCTGTATAACCAAAAGGTCCAGGGTAATGATATTTTGCCAGAAGCAATTTCTTGGTTGGACGATTATAAACTCTGTTCAACCTTATGTCCTTGTTCGACATTCAAGGTCACAGGCGTCATATGTTTAAACCTTTAATAGGTTCTTATGAGTCAAACACTGATATTCTGCCTGTAGCTGTATTTTAGTCCACTTTAAAGATTAATTACAGGTGAGCGATTCAGGCCCATTGGGCCTCTTGTTCTACTTAAAAATATTTCTGAACATGCACTCTTTGATGCATTCTCAGCTGTGTTCTTTCTCTAATTAGTTTGAATGCTTTGTGTTGTAGAACTGTATCCTTTCTTTCACTTGATGCGTTTTAATGCCACACGGACGCTGAGGTTAGAAAAAGTGTCTTTGTGTTGTAGAACTGTTTCCTTTCTTTCATTTGATGTGTTTTAATGCCTCACTGACACTGAGGTTAGATAAAGTGTCTTTGTGTTGTAGAACTGTTTCCTTTCTTTCACTTGATGTGTTTTAATGCCTCACGGACACTGAGGTTAGATAAAGTGTCTTTGTGTTGTAGAACTGTTTCCTTTCTTTCACTTGATGTGTTTTAATGCCTCACGGACACTGAGGTTAGATAAAGTGTCTTTGTGTTGTAGAACTGTTTCCTTTCTTTCACTTGATGTGTTTTAATGCCTCACGGACACTGAGGTTAGATAAAGTGTCTTTGTGTTGTAGAACTGTTTCCTTTCTTTCACTTGATGTGTTTTAATGCCTCACGGACACTGAGGTTAGATAAAGTGTCTTTGTGTTGTAGAACTGTTTCCTTTCTTTCACTTGATGTGTTTTAATGCCTCACGGACACTGAGGTTAGATAAAGTGTCTTTGTGTTGTAGAACTGTTTCCTTTCTTTCACTTGATGTGTTTTAATGCCTCACGGACACTGAGGTTAGATAAAGTGTCTTTGTGTTGTAGAACTGTTTCCTTTCTTTCACTTGATGTGTTTTAATGCCTCACGGACACTGAGGTTAGATAAAGTGTCTTTGTGTTGTAGAACTGTTTCCTTTCTTTCACTTGATGTGTTTTAATGCCTCACGGACACTGAGGTTAGATAAAGTGTCTTTGTGTTGTAGAACTGTTTCCTTTCTTTCACTTGATGTGTTTTAATGCCTCACGGACACTGAGGTTAGATAAAGTGTCTTTGTGTTGTAGAACTGTTTCCTTTCTTTCACTTGATGTGTTTTAATGCCTCACGGACACTGAGGTTAGATAAAGTGTCTTTGTGTTGTAGAACTGTTTCCTTTCTTTCACTTGATGTGTTTTAATGCCTCACGGACACTGAGGTTAGATAAAGTGTCTTTGTGTTGTAGAACTGTTTCCTTTCTTTCACTTGATGTGTTTTAATGCCTCACGGACACTGAGGTTAGATAAAGTGTCTTTGTGTTGTAGAACTGTTTCCTTTCTTTCACTTGATGTGTTTTAATGCCTCACCGACACTGAGGTTAGATAAAGTGTCTTTGTGTTGTAGAACTGTTTCCTTTCTTTCACTTGATGTGTTTTAATGCCTCACGGACACTGAGGTTAGATAAAGTGTCTTTGTGTTCCGTCACAAACTGTTTCACGTCTTTCCCGTTAGTTTTACCATACTCCCTTAGTGCCCAGCCAATTGATTTCTGGATGAAGAACTCCTTTTCTTCAGCTCTCATCAGACAATACCTGTTCAACACAACAATACATAAGCATGTATCCTTGTCATCATATAAAAAAATAATACGTATACAATTTTCTCGTCTACAAAGATGTCATAAGGTGTCATTCTTAACTGGACAGTTTTAAAATCCATCAGATTCCATCTTCAGTCACAAACAAGAAGGTGATTGAATTTGTACTACCCTACTAGTCCATGTGATGGACTGTGGCAAAAACCCAATCACAGAGACAAAATGGATTACTGCCTTTGTGCTGGCTCCGTTCCCTTCCTGTTGGATATATATGGCCGACAGACAGATGAACCAGGCATGATTGCTGTAAGCTTACCCGCCCTTATTATAATACATAATCCGCAGTATTGTTTTTTCTCACACCGTCATGATTACTTTTTGAAGTCTCAAATTTTGTCTTTGTTGTAACATTTTTGTTTCTTGCAAACATAAACATCAAACATTTCTTCAAAAGTCTGTATGAGTGGCAGATTTAAATGACTATTCCTTTATACTAATGATGGGGTTTAAACTTGATCCGATGTTGTATAGATGAAGTTTGTGACCCTTTCTTAGATGCTTCAAACTAAATCAAGTTAAAATGCCTTCATGTATATGGGTACTGTACCTGAAGAATGGTGTTTCAAAGATTTATAAGTCATTCATCCATATTTCCTCATACGCTCCCACCCGAGATATTGTTTCGGCGAATTCTCAATTCCACCAGGTCAATTTTACCAAAACTGATAGATATTCCTGTAATTGCCCTGACCAAGTGTTGTTATTGTCTTTCTCAATCATAAATATGATTTACAGTACCGATAGCCACCATGGTCTAAATCAGTGGGAAAATGTCCAACTTTTAGTCCAGTACTGATAAGTATCATAAAAAATTGACCTAGAAAATGTCTGTAAGACATAAATGCCCCCGCTCATGGATTGGACGAGACTGGACGGACATAGGCAGCACTATCTCCCCCCCCCCCCCCTTTTATGGTAATGGACATAAAAAGATCGATGTGTGTTGTATGGGCAATTTCTTGGTGAAAATCAATAATTTGACTACCAATATAAGCTATCAAATCTTACCAACACAATGACTAAAGCAACTTATTTCTACTTGTCACTAGACTATACAGACAATACAGACACTATTCACTATACATTGTATTACCTAAAGAACTTTGGGCTTCAGTTTGTCAATATGCGTAGCCTGAAGAGTTTGTCACTGTCTTACCTAAACATTGTATCACTGTCTTACTTGAAGAGTTTGTCACAGTCTTACCTGAAGAGTTTGTCACAGTCTTACCTGAAGAGTTTGTCACTGACTTACCTGAAGAGTTTGTAACAGTCTTACCTGAAGAGTTTGTCACTGTCTTACCTGAAGAGTTTGTTACAGTCTTACTTGAAGAGTTTGTCACAGTCTTACCTGAAGAGTTTGTCACTGACTTACCTGATGAGTTTGTCACAGTCTTACCTGAAGAGTTTGTCACTGTCTTACCTAAAGAGTTTGTCACTGACTTACCTGATGAGTTTGTCACTGTCTTACCTGAAGAGTTTGTCACTGTCTTACCTGAAGAGTTTGTCACTGTCTTACCTGAAGAGTTTGTCAGTCTTACTTGAAGAGTTTGTCACTGTCTTACCTGAAGAGTTTTTCAAGGTCTTACCTGAAGAGTTTGTAACAGTCTTACCTGATGAGTTTGTCACTGAGTTACCTGAAGAGTTTGTCACAGTCTTATGTGATGAGTTTGTCACAGTCTTATGTGATGAGTTTGTCACAGTCTTACCTGATGAGTTTGTCACTGTCTTAACTGATGAGTTTGTCACAGTCTTACCTGAAGAGTTTGTCAGTCTTACCTGAAGAGTTTGTCAGTCTTACCTGAAGAGTTTGTCAGTCTTACCTGAAGAGTTTGTCACAGTCTTACCTGATGAGTTTATCACAGTCTTACCTGATGAGTTTGTCAGTCTTACCTGAAGAGTTTTTCATGGTCTTACCTGAAGAGTTTGTCACAGTCTTACCTGATGAGTTTGTCACTGTCTTACCTGATGAGTTTGTCACTGACTTACCTGAAGAGTTTTTGAGAATCAGTTTTCTGTTTATACTTGAGTTGATGTAGTATTGCTGTCCTCCTTAGCCACATGTCTTTGTCTTCAACCCATTTATCCATCACAAGACCAAGGTCATTCGGGTGCTTAGCAACCATTGGACCAATCACTGGGTAGCAAGAAAGAAAATCTAATATTGTCATGTGTCAGCAATGTATATTAAATAGTAGTAATCTTACCCATCGTTGTCTTGGTTGGTCTGTTTATGTCACTGGTTACAATTTATTCATTAAGAATTTCTTACAAAAAAATGTTCAATACATGTAGATTTCATTTTCTCTTTATAAAAGCAACTTGTTAAATTAACCATATTCCTGCATCTACCCTGACCTTGCTGTACAAGGAGTTAGTCCTCTATTAGCCATTGAATATTCCAAGAAGCAAAATACCCCTACAGACAACATCCAGGGGCAGTTACTGATCCGTATTGGTATTGGTATAATGAAACAGTTAAAGTACAGGGTTTCCATAGATAACAAATTTCTGTTGGTTCTCCTTTGCCTCAGCAAATAAACCTGGTCCCGGGGAACCAGAAACTTGCTATATCCCTCAAGCCCATATTTGTAACTGTTTACTAAAATGATACTCATATTTGTTGAATTCATTGCATTTTCAGGTAATTGGACAGATGTCTTGGATTCGAGTAACTGTGAATGTCAACCTTCTGCTGTTTTATACATGATTAAAACAACGATTCAATCTTACCATTAATTGCCAGCATATCTACCGAATCCCACCAACTCTTGTTTGTGATCAGTTTCTGTATTGTATCTAAGAAACGCCTGCAACACTTCAGGTCTGAGCCAATCAGAATGCTGATATTGTTTGAGGCGTAATGTATGGCCATTATCTGGAATTCACGATTTGGCTGCTGCCAGGCTTTCCAGAGGAGTTCAAGTGCCTGGTCAGTGGTCAGTTTGGGGTACGTTCCCAACACCTGTCAATCATTTTTACATGCTCAGTTACTCACTAATCAAACATGAAATAATATTAATACATGTACATATAGTATGCCATAGGTCATTTAGTGATGAAAACCCAAAGTAACACCCATCACATGCCTGTTCATCATTCTCATGAAATGGATATTTTTTTTACTAAAACCGGAGACAAATACATGATATGTACGATCTGAGTTTGGGATGACTGTTAAACACCTGTCCGAATCCAAACAGAAATTGAGAACTGATGGTAGATTTGTTAACTTATAAACACTTTCAGTGCTAATGAGGTTCATAATTAATAACTAAATATAATTTGCTCATATAACTACAGAAGTAATTTTCTACTAATAAATTTCCCCCATATAATATCAGCCTCCAACCAACCTACTTCCTTAACAATGCCTTTCAATTCTGGTGCCTTGATACCATAGAATTCAAACTGTCCCCTCATGTATTGTTTCATCTGGGCTGCATTCTTGCTGTTTTGGTTGGCTGTGAAGCTCGTCTCAAGACTACTTATCAAGGAAGATACAGTGTCTGCAGAGTCTAGTAGACTGAAATGTAAATTGTATCTTATTCTAATGATATAATCATGATTTTTTTTAAATGAATATCAATTTTCAATTATTTTTTTGGGAGTAAATGAAAGTCTCTTTTACTGTCTCATATGACCAAAAAATCTTATTAAATGTAGGTTCTATTGACAAAAAGATCTGAGTAAATGTAGATTCTATACGACATAAAAATCCTAGAAAAGGTAGGATCTTAACATATACACGTATATATACATGAGGAAATTAACTTCTTGGTCAGGGTGTGCATATTATGAGTTATCTTTTATTATTTCATTTTTCTTTGGTATAGTTCTTTACACGACGTGTACACGTGTAACTTTAAGGCTATATCAACGATAGCAGCAAATACAATTTCTCCTTTTCTTAAAAAAAAATAAACGAATAAACAACCAAAATGAACTACAGATCGCATAATTTAAGATGTCTTGGAATATCAAATCTAACTCTGTTCTTGTACTGGTGGTTGTTTCTGAGCTTTGTCCTGTTTTCCGACATGTTTTGCCATCTGTTGGATTGTATCTTGAGGCTTTCAACTTAGACCTCGTTGTCCTTGGCATTTTAGTGGATGCAAGTTTGGTGAGAGAGCCAACAATCCAGTACAATCTTTGTGTGAGGAATAACCTATGCAAACAGAAGTAGACAGACACTGGTGTACATAGTTTTATCAAATGGACTTTTTTGACAGTGTCATAATGTTATAAGGTATATACTGCACATGCGCAATTACAGCATGATATCCAAAAGGACGCTGCTGATTACTGACCACAGGCACAGGTACGTACTAGCCTCCTCTGTCTATACGCCCATAATATAATCAAGGATACTATATTTAGCCTGAGCTTCCTCTGGCCCCAACACCAGACCTAGACATTTTGACAGATAAATGTCTATGTATCCCAGACATCTATCTGTCAAAATGTCTAATCATTATTTGATCTTTTGTTAATAGTGGATTCCATATACATGATGCATATTCCAAATGTGGACTAGGACTTAGGAACATCTCCTGAAGGTGAATGATTTGAATATCAGACTTTTTATACTGTTGGCTTTGGAGACACATTTACACACGTTGGCTGAACATTAATTTGTTGTCGAATGTGACGCCCAGATTTTTCTCAGAGACAACATGGGTAATGGACTCATTTTTACCATGTTGCAGTGTGGTGTAATCATTTTCATTTTCTTTCGAGTACCCAACACAACTACATTTGCTCACAGGGTCACGTTACAAATATCTGAAATACACATATGCTATACTGATCCGGGTCACAACACATGTATGTTTATGTGTGTTGTGCCCCGTATCAGTATAGCATATGTGTATTTCAGACAATGTTTATGTGTGTTGTGACCCGTATCAGTAGGTATAGCATATGTGTATTTCAGACATTTGTAACGTGACCCTGTGAATTGCTTGCATTTTTAGTACTGACCAGAACCAGAATAGATATCATCAGATTCATTATAAAAATACATTTCTAATCACTGACAGTTCTATCACCTAGTACTAAATTACAGAAGACATGTGAAAATGACTTTTCGATTACCAAACTTTTAATTTACGTTATTTTACGTTAATTTATCATATATGTTTACCTTTGAGAAAATCTGCCTACTAGTACTACTGACATTCGCAAGTTTCCCGCTTTTATTTAATTCCGAAGGCCAATATACGAGAGCTTCCGAAGTAGGCATAGGCGAATTTGATTTTGATGTGCCAAGTGTGCCGGTGTATATGCCGACTCCTCGGAGCAAGGCGGCACAGCGACTTGATTGTGTCCCGCAAACAGGCCATGAACCAACCAGTACATTATAAATTCACAATATCCACAAACCTCATTAAATAAAGTAAATGAATAATTGTGTTAAATATATCATTTTATTAATGACTTTTGAAAATAAAATCGGATGAACCTGTTTAAGTCTGTGTCGAATGTACTCAACATATCACTTGCATTAAAAAATCTGCATAATGAAATAAATTGCAACAGAGAACAATGCAATGCAAACTTTGCTTTACGACATTGAAAAATCCAGCAGCTTCAAAATACTATTTAATCATTCAATTAAAATTGAAATTCGCCCTAACACTTCATCATGCCCCCTCTATCTGCGATTAAACACCACAATTTCTTGACAGAAGCTGGAAAGGCATTGTGATCAGATGTAACATCTAAAATCGTTTTTGTCGTGAGTAGCAGAGGGGTGAGGGGTTGGAGAAAGCGAGACATGGGTCAAAACAGATGTCAACACCAGACAACCACCAACAACAGCTTTTATGAATGACTTAACTATAACTATCTATACACATGTTCAAGCCAGACGGAGAGTGAGGGCAATTTGAGGGCATTTCATCGCGGGCAAGCTTGAGGGTGGCCATCAAACCACAGAATCGAAGGCCCCTTATAAAAATAAAGGCAAAGTCAACCATCGATCATCGACAACCCAATTAAATGTTTCGGGAAGTGGTTTGATGGAACGAAAAAACATAACAAGTTATTGAGGGTATGCAAAACATCGACACCTCAAACATCCCGGGGGTGTTTATAATACTGGTGTACCAATATGGACCTGTGCCACGTTCGTCCATCCCCTTCATGCTTCTTCATGTCAACTGTAGAGCAGTTGGATCAGAAAATGAACAAAAAACCCCTAAAATAATGTTGGAGTAACTTCGATCTTAACACGATGTACACAAGACCAGTCAAACTCCAGCTTTAACATCGGCAGTGGAAGAATGCAAGATCGAAAAAACACGACTAATTATGCATGTCTTTATGAAAATGACTAGGTAACTGGAGTAGCAAAAGAGACAGTTTGGAAGTGGCCAGCATCTAAAGCAAGGCCACTTTCGTTTATCGCGATCCAAACGGTTGGACCAGAGTTGTTCGTTTATGAAATAAGGTCTGACCTAGGAATCAGATACTGTTTTAAGACGAGCCTTGACAAAGCCTTGCAGGGCATGCATAAACTTTTGCAGGTCTGCCAGGATTTAAACCAAAAAATGTTACATTTTAATTAAAACAGACGAACCGGTTGTTCCACATAAAGAACAGTCCTCAGGTTCATCTTCTTACGGTTCGGCACGATCTACCTACTCTTGTAGAGAGTAGGTAGGCCGGATCGTAACCTTTGGCTAGCGAAGATGAAGCAGGGCACACCATTAGAACAAAGGGACCTCATTTTTACCGAAAGTCGATCTAAACCCCTTAAACATGTAAAAAATACTCTGAACACCTTAGTTTAGGTCCAAATATAGTTGTAACAAGTTCTCAGGTCCCTGTGCATTAGGACATTGTGGAACCAGACGTCGTTGGACGAAAAGCACTATAGGTGATACCGGGAAAATGCTTCGGTTCTTCTTCGATCGACCCCTGCACCTTGCAGAGACACATGTTTATCCCCTCTGTAGGATGAAGGAACATGAGAAATTTTAACCAAGTAGGGAACAAGAAGCTTGCATGGAACATTACTCATACATTTGTAACTGACATTTCCAAACAGTACCGACTAATATCGGGTGAGACAAGGTGCTGTGGTCAAAGACGAAGAAAATAGTTGTAATCGAATTGACAGTTCACCAAGAGGTAAGATGCTGTGAAGCACACGGGAACTGAAAGGGCCGAATATGAAACATTGATCATGATATAGCTATCCAGTAGATATTCAATGCAGAGGCTTTCATGCACGGTCTGTGTGTTTAATGTTATCTGCATCGGGATTTAAAAAAACCCGATGCAGGCGAACAGTAGCAAGGAGAATGACACATGAACAAAAAAAAAGCTCGGGCGTGGTGTGGATGAAGACGCCAGTGAGATGCTGGAGAACCACCACCGACGCACAGTGAGTGCTCACCACTGGACCCCTATCTTCGCTAGCCAAGGATTACGATCTGGTACAACCAGGGCTACATTCGTGTATCCCGGTTGAAACGGTACGTGTGGCGCAGAAATATTCCACGATAAACGAACGCACTTGGACCGTTCTATAAGCAGAGTTAAAATGCACAGTTTCGGAGAATATAAAACAATGTATCAACAATGTATCAACAATGTATGTGGTATGCCACATAACGTATCTCAAAAACTACATGTGGCTTGACATTGTTTTAGAAAGAAATAACGCAAACTAGCAATAGTCAGCATTTTAGTTTTGGTCAGGCACGTCTGGACCCCTAGCTCCATCTACACGTGCCAAATTTTCCTGAGGTCGGCTTCGGTCCAGATCTGTGCCTGTCGTTTTCTTTACATGTTCAACCGGTTCAACCGAACACACGAATGTACTGTCCAGAGTGAAGAGTAGGTAGATCCGATCATCGTACCGGATCGTAGCCTACAATAAAATTCGTGAATATTAATTCGCGGGTATTGGAAAGTCATGCAAAGTCACACGAAAGAGAACACCTAAGTACATGTAGCTTAATTATAGAACGGGAACAATACATTAAAGGAATTTTGGTTTGAACAGATCGGGTTTAAAGCGACGTTTATGATGGAATATAATTTGATCTTTCATTGTAATCAGTTTGTCAGCCATTTTGCTATAGTGAACCATAGGTGATGGGCACGTCTATCTTTTTTTTTTTATAGATAGTCTTATCTATTCAATTTTTTTTTGATAGACGTGCCCTCCACCTATGAGTGAACGGCTCAAAAGGCACGTTAGAATCAAGTTCGCCATAAAGTAATCGTCTTGGTTCAGGGGATACAACTCCTACTAAGACTTTATATGCATTTACCGATGTAGATTTTTGGTGAAGTTCAAGAAACGACGAAAGTTAATATTATTTATAGATATTATTCTAATATGAAAACATATACTTTGCAAATTCCAATCAGTGAACTTATTTCACAATGAGAATGGGATAGGCTATAGTTGCATGAGCAGGCATTTGTTACGTTTTTATATCCTTGCTTGATTTATATTGAAACAAAAGCATGTTTTTGTGTCAAAATCAATATCAAAAAGAATCATCTCGCTCCCAAAAACTTGAAAAAAATGCCCCGAATCATATAATCATGGCCGTGCCACTGATCATCAGGGCGCAATGTAAGTCATGTTGAGCCATGATGTCAACATTGATGAAGTTGTTGGAAAATGACGTTTGGAGAAAAGAAAAATATTTTCAATTGTGTTTGTGGTTTTTCCCTTCTTACATATTATTTTAAACATATTGTGATGTTAATGAGCGTTGTGAAATGGTGTAGTTATTTCTTTTACAACATCCGAAGAAACTGAAACAAAATATATTGTTTGCTTCAAAACCCAAGCAAAATAGATTGATTCTCTAGTCGGAATATTTTTTAACTCACCGTTGTCGACGTCATTCCTACTATTGAAAACTATTGTCATTGACTATGATCACATGACCCCATTTCGCCCAGGTTTACCAAACCGGATGGTTTGAACCGCATACAACACAAATTCCCAACATCTTACAAGAAAAGAAGAATTCCAACATACTCAATTAGTGTATTTTTCAATGGAATTCAATATATTCAAGAAAAAAAATGCAAAAATGGACCAACTTGCCCCGATCCCCCTATTTATGATTTTAAATGTATGGATGTTAAACTATTCCAATGCTTCTCGCTACCAAGGTATTCATCAGTATAATGAGTGAACTGTTTATAAACGTTATACCACAGAGTTAGATAGCCCTCCTGTCTGTATAACCCTTACATACTTGTACCATGTAGTTCAGAATGCACAATGTCAATGTCGCTCTATAATGAATGGCGTGCTACAGTCTTTTTGATAGATATTTGCATATTGCCGATAAGTCTATTATGAATATTTCTGGAAATCATCCAAAAATACGATGATGGCGTGCTTACTGTCATATGTAAGAGTTAACTCCCTTGTACTGTACCATTTTTCTCTGGTATAGATAAGACAAGTACACACAAAAGAGGGGGGTGGGGTGGGGAGGGGACTGCATCACATCTGGCACCAGACTGTCAAGATAACTCCTGTGAACTCAAGGAACTTGTAATAATTAGTTACCAACAAAGATACCGTGTACACGTCTAAATATCGATAGTTTGAAGACGGGGTTCCGTTTCACAACGCGAATTTACGTCAGTCCCGAGGTCATGGTGCTGACCGATTATGTATACTTCTTCATTTGAATATTGCCTTATGGCGTACCCAAGACGGTACAAATGCTCCTCAATATTCACCATCCTGATGGAATATTGTAATATTTTAAAACGAATTTGATTCCCCTCACCCCTACACACACGCACATACTTTCGAGAAATCTTACAATCGTAGATACAACTACAATGCTACATAATTATGTAAGCAGATTATTTATCTTAAATAACAAACTACTAGATACCATTATACACAGTTTAGTTTCAACTGACCAGATGTTAATTATTGCCTTCCCTTGTTGTTCCATACTCTGCCGTAAGAGCGTCACGAACTGAAACACTTGAGGAGGCAAAACACTACAGACTATCGATTTTTTATGCTTTAACTGAAATAATCAAAACAAGTCCAAGTTGGTGTTTTGTGTGGCAAACACCCAGCCCATTTGTTTTCTAAACAACGCAAGTGGATATTCCGGAAATGTGATTCATTGTCCGGTATCGACCTAGTGATTAGTCACGACCTAAATGTGCGCG